TTACTATATATATATATATATATACACACACACACACACACACACACACACACACACACACACACACAGAGAAATTCTGGTGGGTTTCCTGCCAGTAAAGGAAGAGAAAGTTTAAAAAGTCCTGATCCATGCTTATAAAGACCAAAAGCCATCTCTATTCCTCAGTGGGAAGCAGTGTTGTCCACTGGCTCTGCTACTAGACTTGCTCTCAGGAGATCTGAGTTCTGTTCTGTTCCTGGTTCTACTACTAGCCTTCTGGGTGACCTTGGCTAGTCACATTAATCGCCCAGTGCCTCAGTTTCCCCATCCCTAAAATGAGGATAATGATACTGGACCAGATTTTCAGAGATATTTTGGGGCCTTTGAAAATCTGGCTAACTGACCACATGCTTTGAGATGCATGAATAAAAAGTGGTGTATTGTAGGTGACACAGCTAGTGAAACCTATATTTAATGTTGCTTCACACTTTCCGTTATAAGACCCTGTTTTCAGTTGCTTATAACTTTGCCAGATTTAACTGTTCATGCTGAAATTTCCTGCTTTGTGTCTGCCTCAGGCTGGTTTTTTTTGTTTTTTGTTTTTGTTTTTAAGTTTCAGCAAAAGTATTCAGCCATTTCGGAGTGAGATTAGGGAAAACCATATTGTTCTATCCATGTTAATGATCTGGCTATGAGAACTTTCTTCAGAAGCTCTTGCACCTCCAGGCTTTGGAGCAGGGACCTCAATTTGACATTGCGGGGTGGGAGAAATCACCCCGCTATCAGGGAATGGCTTTAGCTGTTCCAATGAAAAGCCACCCAAATTTGGTCAAATTATGAGCCTTTAACAAATTGTACTTTGCACAGTTTCAGTAAAGACTTGTTAGAGCATCACTGCTAAACCCCCACATCACTACACATGCTCCATCCCATCATAATCCCTGTATGTGACAGGATTTCACATGTGCCATTCCAGAAAGTAACCAAGCAGGAAGAGATTAAAGACTGCCATTCTCTCAGCATGTGCTGAGTCCATTGGCTATGTCAGCCGCCATCACCAAGACTGGTTTGAGGAGAATAATGCTGAGATTCAGGGCCTGCTTGACCAGAAAAGAAAAGCTCATCGCATATGGCAAAATGACATATTACACCAGTAGAAGAAAGAGTCATACAAGAAACTCAAAGCTGAAGCCCAAAGGAAAATCCATGACATCAAAAATAAGCGGTGGCGAGAAAAGACCAAGGAGATGGAGCTTTATGCTGATAAACATGACATCAGGAGCTTTTTTCAGGTAATAAGGGCCATTTATGGTCGATGCTCCCATGGTCCCACACCACTCCAAGCCCAAGACAGGTCAACGTATTTTTTAAGGCAAGCAAAGCCATCAAAGCCAGATGGAAGGAGCATTTTCAGTTACTCCTGAATCGTGAGTCAACTGTCTCTGATGCCACTATCAAATCTATACCTCAATAAAATGAAAGAGAATCTCTTGCTGACCTCTCTGCCCTGAAGAAGTAACATGAGCCATTATGCATACCAAGAACAACAAGGCAGCAGGACCAGATGGCATACCAGCTGAAGCCTACAAGTTTGGAGATGAAGAACTGGTAACGACGCTCCACAAACTTTTTCTTCATATCTGATATAATGAGAAGATTCCAGAAAACTTGAGAAAGGCCAACACTGTTACAATCTTTAAGAAAGGAGATCAATCAGAGTGTGGAAATTATTGAGGTATTGCCTTGTTATCTACAGCACGGAAAATTCTTGCCCGTATCCTCTTAAACCGATTACTTCCCCTTGCTGAGGAAATATTGCCGGAATTTCAGTGCAGTTTTAGACCATCCCACGGGACAACAGACATGATCTTTGTTGCCTGCCAAATCTAGGAAAAGTCTCAGGAGCAAAATCAGGATTTGTAAATGGCCTTCATCAATTTGACAAAGGCCTTCAACTCGGTCAACTGTGAAGCTCTATCAAAGGTGCTGGCCAGATTTGGCTGCCCTCCAACATTTATTAAGGTCCTCAGGTTTCTTCATGATCAGATGACTGCCACAGTTCTCTGTAATGGTCTTGAGATGGACCCTTTCATCATCAAAACTGGGATTAAGCAAGGATGTGTGTTATTGCCTCAACCCTGTTCTCCATCTATTTAGCAGTCATTTTGGTCTTTGTTAAAGACCGCCTCCCCAGTGGAGTTGACATTCAATACAGAATGGATGGGCGACGTTTTAATCTTCGATGTCTCTGCTCGAAGTCTAAAGTGCTCAGGGCATCCATTAGTGATCTTCAGTATGTTGGTGACTGTGCCATGCTTTGCACACTGAGAATGACCTTCAGTCCACACTGGATTTTTTGCACAAGCTTACCGAAGCCTAGGACTCTCACTCAATATTGAGAAGACTAAAGTGCTCTATCAGCCTGCTTCAGACCTTGCACATGACCCACCACAAATCAAGGGACAGACTTTGGAGACAGTTGAGCACTTTTGCTAACTTGGTAGCCAACTCTCTCAAAATACAAAAATCGACAGTGAGATCCAGCGCAGGATCTAGTGCGCAAGTGCTTCCTTTGGGAAATTGCTCCAATGTGTTTTCACGGACTGTTACCTATGGCAAGACACCAAGATCCAGGTCTATAAGACAATTGTTATTCCTACACTCCTTTATGGATGCGAAACCTGGGTGACCTATTGACAGCACCCCTCAAGAGTCTGGAGAGGTACCACCAACAATGCCTCCAGAAGATCCTTCGCATCAAGTGGGAAGATCGCTGCCCTAATGCCAGCATCCTCACTGAAGCCAATATCATCAGCATGGAAGCAATGATGCACCAACTCTGCTGGACTGGACATTGTATGCAGATGCCAGACTCTCACCTCCCAAAAGAAGTCCTCTACTCTCAGATGACCCATGGTCAGAGATCCCGTGGTGGTCAGAGGAAACACCACAAAGACACACTGAAAGCGTATCTCAAGAAAACTGATGTGGACATCACAAGCTGTGAGGAGCAAGCCACCAACCGATCCCCATGGCGCCATATCCTCCATCAGGCAGTGGCCCGCTTTGAGGAGAAGCGCTTTGCCCTCGAAGCTGAAAAGGGCGAGAGAGGGAAGAAAAAAGAGCATTCTCCCAGCAGCCAACTGGCCTGCCAGGAAATGTCTGTACCTACTGTGGGCGGATCTGTGGTTCCAGGATAGGACTCCTGAGTCATCTCAGGACCTATATGGAAATTCATGGTAGAGCTCATCCTCGAATCAAGGGATCACTGATGATGATCATAATGAATATAATATTAATTTTCTCCTGAAAGTTATGGTTCTCTTGCCACAGTCTCAGAATGCATTGCAAATATTAATGAATTGATCTTTGCAACACCCTTGAGAGGCTAAGTGGTATTATGATTCCTATTTTACAGATGGGGTATGAGGCAAAGGGGGATTAAGGTCAAAACTGTACACTAATTTTGCGTGCCCAACTAGTGATATCTATGACTTTTTTTCAGAATATTTAGCATTTTTCTACCACTTTATATGTTCAAAGCACAGCCCCCCTCAGCTTCACAGAATCATAGAATATCAGGATTGGAGGGGACCTCAGGAGGTCATCTAGTCTAATGCCCTGCTCAAAGCAGTGCCAATCCCCAGACAGATTTTTACCCCAGTTTCCTAAATGGCCCCCTTGAGGATTAAACTCATAACCCTGGGTTTAGCAGGCCAATGCTCAAACCACTGAGCTATCCCTCCCCCCATAACAGTCATGAGCACTGAGCGCCCATCGCTTCTGCAAGACAGGCCCCTCTGGTGTCTTACATTGGGCACCCAAAAAATGAGGAACACACAATTGGTGGCCACCTATGAAAAGTTTGGTTTAAGTTACTTGCTTAGCACCAGACAGGAACTCTGTGGCAGAGGCCGGGTTAGAATCCAATTTTTCAGGGCTACAACCAACTGCATTAAACAATGAGACCCACCTTCTTCTACCTAAAATCCCATTTCATTCACAGTCACTACACACATTCCTACTTCCTCAACAAATGAGGCAGGGGCTCTCCTGAACTGCACAACCCTGATTCATTCCCAGATCACCATGTATCCTGTGTACTGAATGAGGCGGGGTCCTGTGGAAAAATAGTAGGTAATCACATAATTAAAGACAGTTACACAATGTAAGCACAAAGGGACAAAATTAAGGTTGCACAGGCAACCTTAATTCTAGCATTTCTTAATTGGAGTGCTTGACTTTCCAACCATAATATTCTATTAACACAGTTTTTTTAAAAAATGTAATGCAGCTAGAGATTATTAGTGTTCTGTAGGGACTAGGAGACCGGGACCCTTATGACTTAGTTACCTACCCTTACACTGAAATACTTTAATGGAATGCAACAATATCATGCAATTCGCCCTGCTTCCCTGGTAGGCAAATATTACCTCAAACTCTGGATTCAAGTTTCTTTTCTTTAATGCTATATTTTCTGTCTGCTTCACTACCGTAGTGGAAATTATCTAGCACAGAAGCTTCAACAGTGACAGGATCCTGCCTAAGCAATGGTTTACCTTGTGCTTCTTTCCTGTGTGATCTCAGGTGTCAGATCGTGCTCTGCATTTCAGACTTGTGAAGAGCCTCTTCCCCTACACCTTCTTTATAATCACTGAAGGGGACCAAAATCCTACCACAGGGGAATTGAAATTTTTTTAGAAAACAGATACGAAAATAGACTTTGAGACCTACATGCAAATATTCACAATTTCCTAGTGAAACAGATTCTCATGAAAGTGCTGTCCACATCCAAATATTGTACAGACTTGTGTTGTGTACTCTACACAGTTCTGCCAGCATACTTCAACCACCACCACAATCCCCAGCTATTCCAGTCTTGAGACTGTCATTAACATTTTATAGAAAAGTTACTTACTTGTACAGTAACTAGAGTTTGAGAGTTGTTGTCTATCTGTATATTCTACTCTTGGCATGCATGCACCCCAGGTGCTTGAGACTGGGGTGTTTTGGCCAGCGTTGTTTGTTTGGGCCACACATGTGCCCTGGTTGCCCTCCTGCTCGTGTATCAAAGCTATAAAGGGCAGTGTGGATCCAACTGCCACTCAGTTCCTTCTCCACCACAGCATCCACATACGTAATAGCCTAATAGGACTCTAAAGTAAGAGGGAAGGAGGAAAAGTCATGGAATATGCATAGGGACAATATATCTTGACAAACTCCAACTACTCTCCAAGTAAGTAACTTCTCTCTTCAATTATTGTCCATATGTATATTCCACTCTTGGCGACTCAAGGTATGTCTACACTACGAAATTAGGTCAATTTAATATAAGTCAATTTTTTAGCAATCGATTTGATACAGTCGATTGTGTGTGTCCCCACTTAAGACCATTAAGACCATTAAGTCAGCAGAGTGCGTCCACAGTACCGTGGCTAACGTCGACTTTCGGAGCATTGCACTGTGGGTAGCTATCCCACAGTTCCCGCAGTCTCCGCCACCCATTGGAATTCTGAGTTGAGCTCCCAATGCCTGATGGGGCAAAAACATTGTCGCGGGTGGTTCTGGGTACATGTCGTCAGGCTCCCTCCCCTCCCTTTGTGAAAGCAACGGCATTAAATTGTTTCTTGCCTTTTTTCCTGGGTTACCCGTGCAGACAACATACCACGGCAAGCATGGAGCCCACTCAGCTCATTGTCACGGTATGTCTCCTGGGTGCTGCTGGCAGACGCGGTACTGCAGTGCTTCACAGCAGCATCCACTTGCCTTGCCTTGCGGACGGCAGACAGTGCAGTAGGACTGGTAACCATCGTCGTTGTCGTCCTGTGGGTGCTCCTGGCCGACCTCGGTTAGGTTGGTCGGGGGCGCCTGGGCAGACATGGGTGCTCCTGGCCGGCCTCGGTGAGCTCGGTCGGGGTGCCTGGACAAAAATGGGAATGACTCCAGGTCATTCTCTTCTTTAAGTTTTGTCTAATGGAGATTCAGTCCTGCCTGGAATATCATGCCAGCTGGAGGCTTCTGCCTTAGGCTGCTCTCCCAGCCGGCAGCACCGCACAGTCACACCTACCCGAGCCTACCCCTTGCTTCCATGGCTCATGAAGCCTGGACAGTAGTAAGGAGCAGTTCAACTATAGGCTGAGCAAGTGCATAATGGTGTTAGAATGTGCTTTTGGATGTTTAAAAGCTTGCTGGTGCGCTTTACTGACTCGGTTAGACCTCAGCGAAACCAATATTCCCATCATTATTACTGCTTACTGTGTGCTCCACAGTATCTGTAAGAGTAAGGGGGAGACGTTTATGGTGGGGAGACGTTTATGGTGGGGTGGAAGGTTGAGGCAAATTGCCTGGCCGCTGATTATGCACAGCCAGACACCAGGGTGATAGAAGAGCACAGCAGGGCACGCTGCGCATCAGAGAAGCTTTGAAAACCAGTTTCATGACTGGCCAGGCTTCGGTATGAAAGTTCTGTTTGTTTCTCCTTGATGAAAACCCGCCCCCTTGGTTCACTCTACTTCCCTTTAAGCCAACCGCCCTCCCCTCCCCCCTTTGATCACCACTTGTAGAGGCAATAAAGTCGTTGTTGTTTCAAATTCATGCATTCTTTATTAATTCATCACACAAATGGGGGGATAACTGCCAAGGTAGCCTGGGAGGGGTGGGGGTGGGGGGAAGAAAGCACAGGGGTGGGGTAATTGTAGGGGCACCCCCTAGAATGGCATGCAGTTTATCATTTCTGCGGGATGTCTGAGGCTCTGACCCAGAGCGACCGTTTGCCTCTCTGGTTCTTTGGTAAGTTGCCTGAGCACCTTAAGTTTCATGCGGCACTACTGCGGGTCCCTGTTATAGCCTCTGTCCTTGGAGATTTTTTCAAATGTTTTGGCATTTTGTCTTTTGGAACGGAGTTTTGATAGCACGGATTCCCCTCCCTATACAGCAATCAGATCAGGTACCTCCCATTCGGTCCATGCTGGAGATTTTTTGCAATTCTGGGACTCCGTGGTCACCTGTGCTGATGAGATCTGCACGGTCACCTCTGAGGTCACCATGCTGGCCAAACAGGAAATGAAATTCAAAAGTTCGCGGGGCTTTTCCTGTCTACCTGGCCAGTGCATCTGAGTTGAGAGTGCTGTCCAGAGCGGTCACAATGGAGCACTCTGGGATAGCTCCTGGAGGCCAATACCATCGAATTGTGTCAACACTACCCCAAATCCGACCCAGCAGGGTCGATTTCAGTGTTAATCACCTCTTCAGGGAGGAGTACAGAAATCGATTTTAAGAGCCCTTTAAGTCAACAAAAATGGCTTCATCGTGTGGAGGGGTGCAGGGTTAAATCGATCTAACGCTGCTAAATTCGACCTAAACTTGCAGTGTAGACCAGGGCTCACAAACAGAGACCTAAAATAAGAAGTTGGGTGCTCAGACTCTATCTAAAAAGAGATTGTAATACAGGTCTCCAAAGGAAGCATCTGCTCTGGATGCTTCCACCAAGAAGTAGTGCTTGGAAAAGGTATGTATGGCCACCCAAGGTTCTGCTTTGCAGAGGTCTAGAATGGGAATGCTTCTCAAGGAAGCAGCAGAGGCTGCTTGTGGCCTAGTGGAATGGGTTCCAATATGATCTGGAGGATGTAATCTAGCTGACTCGTAACAGAGTATAATGCACCCCAAAATCGATTTTGACAGTCTTTGGGCAGAAACTGGTTGGCCTTCATCCTCTCAGCAAGAGACAAAAATAACCTTGGAGACACTCTAAAGGGTTTAGTTCTTTGCAAGTAAAAACCAGGGCCCTCTGACCATCAAATGTGTGTAATCTTGATTCTCCATTATTCGAATGTGGTTTGGGAAAAAATACTGTTAGATGAATAGTCTGATTTAAACAGAATCAGATTTTTTGGTAGGAATTTTGGGTGTGGTCTGAGACACACCTTATCAGTATGACAGGCTGCATATGGTGGTCCTGCCATGAGTGTATCTCCCCAGTTCTCCTAGATGAAGTAATAGCTTCTAGAAAGGAGGTTTTAATGATTCAGAGTTACAAATAACATGTTGCTAGGCGTTTGAAAGTGGGCCCATCAATCTTGACAACACTATATTACGGTCAGGAGGGAGGGGACCAAGTTATCTTATTGGTGGAAATAATCCTAATTAGGCCTTATGCACTGATGGTTGCCAGGCATACCTTAACTGAGCCAATGGAAAGTCCAGAGGTCTTCAGACAGTAAATCTAAAATAGTGTCCATGGGACAAAATTGGTGCTCTTCCCACCGAACTGTAATTCTCTTTTATTTAGCAGCAAAGGTTTGTCTGGTGAAATCTTTCCTACTATTATCAAAATGTTCTGGACTTGTGAAGATCATGATCTCTCTACCTCAGACACCCATCCAGAAGTCATCTGTGAGATGGAGGGAGGATGGATTCAAATGGAGTGTGAGCCCATTGCCCTGGGATATCAAGTCTGAGATTACAGATAAGGTCTTTGGAAGACAGTAAGATAAACTCATAAAATCCTGGTACCAAAACTGTCTTGGTCAGGCAGGAACTACATTTTATTCTGGAGGCATCTTGTCTTATCTGCTTGAGCACCCTCAAAATCAATGGGTGCATACATAAGTGTGGTGAGACCACTGAATGAGGAATACATCTGAGAGCGATCCTGTGCTGCACTTGGCTCGGGAACAGAAAGTTTGGCATTTTCTGTTGGTTTGTCTCAAACAGGTCTGATGGATGACCCCAGACTCTGAACATTTGGAAACTATGGAGTCTGATTGTCCACTCGTAGTCTGGTAACAAGTGTCTGCTCAAAGTTGTCTGCCAGTGTGTACTACAGACCTGGGAGGGATTTGCTGTTAAGAGATACTAGATGACTGCACCAGTTCCAAAATCTAACCACCTCCAGGCACAGTGGGGAATGAATGTGCTTCATCTTACACATTTATATAAAAAAAATTTAACACTGAGGGTAATTAACCATTGGAACAATTTACAAAGGCTCATGGTCTCCATTACTGGATTTTTTTTTAAAGGTATGCTCTAATTCAAAAGGAATTATTGTGGGGCAGGTCTCTGGCCCGTGTTATACAGGAGGCCATACTAGACGATTACGATAGTCCTCTCTCACCTTGGAATCTTTGTGAGTCATGTTGTCTGTCATAATCTAGATAGGCTGCCTTTTAATAAGAGGTAAGAACTTGATGCAGGTCTTTCAAACCACTCTGAGTTCCAACACATTAATAAGTAGGTGAGCCTCCTCACAAGTCCATTTGCCTTGTCCTTGATGGTGATCTAGGTATGCTCTCCTCCCCAGAAGTGATGCATCAGGTTGGGAGAGGCAGTGAAAAGAGTACTCTTCTGCACATCTTGCTCGGTTCTTTCAATCAGTTAAAGGAGGAGAGAACATCCTCGGGAATCTGTAGCGGCATGTCTAAATTACATCTGCTCAGCTCAAATGCTGATTTCAGCCAGTCCTGCATGCAGCGTAGGTGTAGTCTGGCATGCTGCATGACAATAGTGCAAGAGGCCATGTGTCCAAGTAGACTTGGACAAGTCCTTACTGTAGTGTACGGATTTGACTGAAGTTGTTTGATAAGACTGGACATGTTTACAAATCTGCCCTGAGGCAGATGAGCTTGGGCTGTCTTGAAGTACAAAATCAACCCTATGAACTCTATTTGTTGTGTTGGAGTAAAACTGGATTTTTCTTTGTCGACCTTAAGGCTGAGGTTACCAAAGAGTTGGAAAATCTGAAGGCTGAAACTTTGTACCTATGTTGCAATTTCCCTCTGACAAGCCAGTTGTCCAGGTATGGATAAACTGCTATGCTTAGTCTTCTGAGATGGGCAACAATCACTGCCAAGATGTTGGTGAGCACCCTCAGTACTGTTAAGAGACCAAAAGGGTAGAACCCTGTACTGATGATGTCCCAGTAAGGACCTTAAATACTTCCTATGCACCAGATATATGGAAGTATGTGTTCTGGAGGTAGAGAGCCATAAATCAGTCTTCTGAATCTAGGGATGATATTATGGAGGCTAACATGGTCATCCTGAACTTGTATCAATAATGTAAGGTGTTTAGCTCTCGCAAAGCCAGGAAGTGCACACTAGTGCAAGTTTTCTTAAAAAGCTAGCCTAGGAAATTAAATGCAAGTGTCTTGATATGCATAGTAGAGGTAAATCACATTACTCCACACTGTAACAATTAGGGACCAAACACTGCAAGGGGAGAACAGAGACTCTGAACCCTAAAGAGTAAGCAATTGAATCAACTGGTTTTGTACAATGTTAGTGTATAAGAATATGAAAAGTAAGGTATTTTATGAAAGCTTGAAATGTTCTGAATTTGATGGTCATTATAATTTATGTATACAGACTGGGGTTATGAATCCATGTATATGGAATAATATGCTCATTACTTGTACTTTAGTGGGGAGGAATAGCTCAGTGGTTTGAGCATTGGCCTGTTAAACCCAGCATTGTGAGTTCAACCCTTGAGGGGACCACCTAGGTGTTCTGCAGCAAAATCAGTACTTAGTCCTGCCAGTGAAGGCAGGGGGCTGGACTCAATGACCTTTCAGGGTCCCTTCCAGTTCTATGAGATAGGTATATCTCCATACATTATTGTATTTATATTATTACTACAATTTCAAATACACCTCAGAGCAGGGAAGGGCTCCCCCGAAGCCAGGTGTTTACACAAAACCAGACACAAGTAATGATCCCTGGTACAACCCAGGAAAAGACAAATGATGGACCATTAGTGGTAAGACACAGAAGCCCCAGCTACCAAGTCGAGAGGGAATTTCACCCCCACTCCC